GGAAGGAAGGAAGGAAGGAAAGAAAGAAAGAAAGAAAGAAAGAAAGAAAGAAAGAAAGAAAGAAAGAAAGAAAGAAAGAAAGAAAGAAAGAAAGAAAGAAAGAAGTTCACACTTCATTTTGTTGTGTCCTCTTTTCAAAACCTGGAGACACAGGTTCAATGAGCATAATAATCATTTCCATGTTACTACAACAGAAAAAAAAGAAAGCAACTTTCTGCCAATCATGTAAGTTAACTAGAACTAATATTCAATCAGGCCATCTGACTATTATCAGAAGTGTGGGATGGTAGCCCTGGAGTGTTGCTTGTTTGTGAGTACTGATCTGAAAGTGGGCTCTGAGTAAGATGTAAATCAGACCTTTCCACGCCTTGGAGTTACTCTGTGAAAAAGGAGGGAGAGGCCAAGGAAAGAATGAGAAAGGGAGAAAGACAGGTCCTTCCTACTACTTCTTAACTTTGAAACTATTTATGTTCCCCATAGTCTATAGGAGGGAAGCTTTCTTTCTCTGTATTTTATTTTTCATATTTGTAAGTATATGTAGCGGTGTGGTGGTGTGGCACACCTTTAATCCCAGCACTCGAGAGGCAGAGCCAGGTGGATCTCAGGAGTTTGAGGCCAGTCTTGTCTACAGAGTGAGATCCAGGACAGGCATCTAAACTACACAGAGAAACCCTGTCTTGAAAAAAAAAAAAAGAATTGTGTGGTAACAAGGCTGTGACAGATTGGGGAATGTCAGTGTAGAGGGCTAGGTGACTGGGCCTTTTAGTCTAATGAAACCCACTATTTTGTATATGTTCTAAAGAGCTATAGCAGGCCCAAGCATGGCAAACATGGCTCTCGCAGGCCTTGCCTTTCCCCCATTCCCTCTGCCTGGCTAAACAGTTACATTACATTCTCAAAGCTAGCCCCCAAGGTCTATTCCTTTATTTGGCCACTGCATCCTCCTGAGGCCGATCACCAATAACTAATTATCAAAGTATTGAAGTCTAGCAATCAGATGCCCCCTTTGGCTGCCCTAATTAAGATAACCAGTCAAAACAAACCAACTCATCATTAACACAGGGTCTCCTTTTTTCCCTTTATAAATTGCCATTTGCCTGTGGGCCATGTCTGTCTCCTCTCTATCCAGAGGCAGTCCTTTATCCTCCAGGGCAAATATTCCCACTCCATTCCCCATCTTGTTCTTTTCTCTTCTCCTCATCCTCTGTCTCCTTGTCTCTTTGTCCCTCTGGGGCAAACAAATCTCCATTGAGCTGAGAACTTGGTCTTGATGTGTCCTTTGCTAGTCCTTTCATGCTCACTTAAAACTTAAAAAATAAGAAAGATCATTGATTGGTATTATAGAATATTAAACAAACTATGACTAGGTCTATAAGCAGAAAGTGCACACTCACCTCCTTTGTAAGAGCCAGCACTGGGCAAAATACATAGTTCATTCTCAGGACATGCATGCTGGATTCTAGCAATAATTCTTTAGTAATGAAAAGAACAAAGCAACCTAGCACTCTGCTTAGAATCTGCCTAAAGAACTTGGGCAAACAGCTACTTCTGAGACACTGGCAAAAAGCAAGAGGTACCAAGATGCAGCTATAACAGATAACAGCTATGAAAAGATGAACTGTCACCAAGGCTAACTATTCTATTACTCCCCAGACGCCACCAGACAATGAAAATCTGTCAGGATCTTACCAATCATCCAAAGTATAATTCAGAGATGGCATTCTGGATACAAGGCTACTGTCCTGTCTCTTATAAAATTACCCTCAACACCAACATTAAAGCACTGTGGAAGAAAAGCACACCCCTTAAAATGAGCAATTCATTACACTCTGTTGATTCTGTTTCTCTTTCAAAGGACAAAAATCACACTTAGATCAACTAAATCAAATCACTCTTTTTAAAACTTTAAGTTGTTTGAGTTTCACATAATTATATAATAAATTTTAGGCATTTCCACCCCTTCAATCCCCATCATCCACTTCTATAACTGGAGCCCTTCTTCCCAACAAGTCTCCCTCCTACTTCCATGTCTTCTGTTTGTGTGTGACCCTATGAGTTTAACTAGAGTTTCCTGTCCAATTTAGGTGGGAGGTAATTTACTGGAGCAAGGGCAACTTATTGGTATCTACATCACTAAAGAAAATGGCACCTCTCCCCTCAAAACTACTAGGTTCCAACAGTCCCCCAGGAAGGATGAAAGGTGGTTAATGGCAAGGTTGTCTTGAAGTAAGAGTCAGAAATGGAAGAGAGTTAAATTGGAGAACTAGAGGTTTCTATTTTAGAATCAGCATTACCTATAAGAAACACATTCTGTCTATCAAAAGAAATTCTAATAATAAGAGGAATCATGTCATGCTATAGAAATTAAAAAAAAAAAACCTGACAGTCAAAGAGAAAATTGTTCTGTTTTGCAGGCTTTTGGCAGTTTGAGAAAAAAAAAAGGAGGCGGCTATGCTGGGTACAGTAGTAATTTATCATGACTTTAAAAAGATCTGTCAACACAAGAGATCACCATGAATTGCATCAGCAGGCTGTCAGTCACCCCTTCTGTTTCACTGCCAAGCACAGAATAGACTATTAAAACATTCCAGGAGTATAACACATGCATGTCACTTTCAGAGGGACACTGTCTGTTAGGGAGGTCTGATGATCTCCACTCTTGAATGACAGTTTCCGAACCCTGGCAAGGGAGAGGCTCTGGAGGCTAACTCTGCACTGAGGCATGGAATGAAGTGACCTGAGATCCAGACTACCAACAAAGTCTCAGCACCTTCCATGGTTTCATCAGACCCAACTCACATTCCAAACTATCTTTGATATTGTCTCAAGGACACAGAATTATCAACAGACAACATATCAATTGTCTCTAGTGTAAAATCCTTTGAAAATGGGCCAGTAAAGAAAAGAATTATAGTGCAAACAGCAACTCTTATAACTAAACGACAGAAGTCACTTTGATAACAATCCATTAGGAGGCTGAAGCAGGAAAATTGAGAGTTTGAGTCCAGCCTGGCTACATAGCAAGGCCTTGTCTCAAAGAAAAAGAAAACAGACAAAAAAAAAAAACAAAAAACAAAAACAAAACAAAACAAAACAAAACAAAACAAAACTGCACATAAAGAAAATAAATGAACAAATCCCATTAGGAACAAGAAGATTTTCCATCTGTCCTTGCTGGTATGACAGTAAATGTGAGAGCTTCAGCATACCGTGCCCTGTGGGGACCCCAGTCAGAGAGCTATAGCACAGAGTGCCCTGTGGGGATCACTGCCCCAGCTCTTCCTACATAACCCCCAGGGAACCCAAGGAATAATAGCAGGTACTCTATACTGGATAACTCCAGAAAAGAAATATGGCCACCATCTTAAATAGTGTTAGCCCTATGCTCCCAGCAGATCTTTAGTTCTCAACTATAAATTATTATATGTATTTATTTCTCTTAGATCTGCTTTTGTCTTGTTTCCAGAAGCAGTGATTCACCACCCCAAAACTTCCAGAGGATTGACCCAAAGCAGTAAGGTGAGAAGCCACATACTTTCAATGGCTCATGACTGCCAAATCTGCAAGGAGACAAAAACTAAATAGCAATAGGAACACTAGTCTCATTCACAGGAATGAATTAACCTAAAACTGTAAAGGATCTTATCTTCCTCTCATCCCAGCATGGCTCAAAAAGCTTTATCCACTTTTCAATTTATGCATCTCCGGGACCTAAGCAACTAAAAATACTAAAATAAATGGACTGCTAATTCCAATTTTCAAGGTTTCATTCAATTTTTTTACTTAACTTAAAAGTATCTTAACATAACTAACATAAGCACTGCCCCTGCTGTTGGGAATAGGGGTAGAAGGAATATAGTGTGTGAGACATAACAGGACACAGCTCTCTCTGGTCATTTGTCTAAATTACAAGAAAAACAAAACCAGCAGCTATTGCTTCAGGTCTGCTGCGGGCTAATATAATCACAACTCTAAGTCTGGATGATAACTATGACCTACAAGCACACCTCTGGGTCTACTTCCTTACATTACCATCATTCCTGACAAGCCAGTAGAGTATTTTAAGTTAATTTATTGTGAAAATGTATGCATCATGAAAGGAAGAAAGATATTCTAAAGGGAGACACTCATATCTTGCTTTTGGCTATCAGACTACTAAGATAATGGGCCTCAAAGAACTAGAACTTCCCTCCAATAAGTACATGCTAGGAAAGGAAAAGGCTGGTGCCAGCCAGAGGGGGACTTATCTCCTAGAAAGAGATTTCATGTAATCTGACAACTTCAGAGTTCTTTCAGGAGAGACTGGAACTCAGACAATACTGGGTTGATGATGAGCAGGACCATATCTTGACCAGGACTACTTGAATATGCCTGACCCTCATGCCAGTGTCTTGCACATGAACCTGGAGGTCACTGGATCTATTTGCTCCTCTTTACAATGTGGACACTGAATCAGTCTCCTTTCTCTGCTTTGCACTATTACTAGTCCCTGTGACTGACCCAATGAGGATGTGTAGCTGAGTCTCACTTGCTAAGGCAGTCAGGACCAGCCTTTGACTCTAATGGTTCCTGTAACAGAAAGAACAAAGAACAAGGCCTATTTCAGTTTTTCTTTTAGAAGAAAACCCTTTTTAAATGTTATCTCAAAGGTTATGCTGAACTACTAATATAGGGCTTAAAATTACTCATGTTCACTGTCTTTTAGCTCAAAACAGAGATATTAACATCAATATTGATATAAAAATACAGTGAATACATTCTAAATAATAAAATAAATAGTAAAGCATCAGGTACAGTATGTACTCAGTTACTGAGAAAACATCTTGGTCTAGACACATTTTATATGTCATAACAGGACATCTTCTTCTAATCTTTTGGTTTCTCCTAATTTAAAAAAAATCCATTTTATACTAGACTTGACAAGCACTGTTTGCATGCCCAGAATGCTTAGTAAGAACAATCAGTATCTACTGGTATTCTCTCTATTCTAAATACTTAGCATGTTCACTTAATGCTCAAATAATCCAATGAAACGTGATGCTATTGTCCCCATTTCAACATAAAGCTCAGTCATTTCCCAAGAACACATTACCTAGCAAAGGGACAGCAATGGAACCCAGGAAGTCTGGGTAAAGACAGACATGCATTGTCATCAACTGCTTTTTCTGCAGACCTGGAAGAAGCACCTCATGAAAAGATGCACCTGCTGACTCAAGTAGGTATCACACAAGATTTAAGCTCTAGCATGAGCCAGAACTAGAATGTAGTATGAAACACGTGGAAGCAAAGTAGCTATGAAAGCAGCAAGAAATCCATGGAGAAAAGAGAATAGAGACAGAGCATAGAGAAAGAGAGAGGAGCAGTACCATGTAGCCCCAATGCAAAATAAGGCAGATTGACAGGTATGGCTTACATGGAGTTTTAAACTCTGAATGACCTGACATGCTGAGGATGCTGCTGAAGTGCATATTTTGAACACATTTCTGTCACTTGAGTGCTCTGTAACACCAAAGCATTTCTAACCAGAACTAGAAAATCTTTACCTCTGTTGAAAGAAGATAATTAAATCAGTTGATTCTGGGAGAGAAGAATCATTATGAACACAGAGTTGACAAATTATAAACTTTCTCTCCCAGTTGAGATTCAGAAAGGAAACAATACAATCTAATGACAATGGAAGAGTTTCTGACCCCTGCTCCCACTTTTCCTTGTTTGTAGGCTGGTTAAGAAAAAAAAAGCTAGGCTATTTTTAGATACAGAAAGTCAATCCATGACAATTCTATTCCAAGCAATAAAAAATAAGTGCAGAAGAATGAGGAGAAGATTGTAAATCATGGCTACATGGACTTCCACCTTTGAAAAACTGTTACAAGCATAGCCCCATCACAGACAGCACCATACATCACCGTGTTCTTTATCTCAACTTGGAGAAAGAAAGACTCCATGCCAGTGCTCACCTGGTGTGCAGTTGTCTTAGGGATGGATTGGTTTTGTGTGTGTGTGTGTGTGTGTGTGTGTGTGTGTGTGTGTGTGTGTGAAGTGTACTATAGTATTATTAACCATTTTCTGAATTGCACCATCATTCTTGACATTATGTAGTTAGAAATGTTCATTATTCCTAGAGGAACTGACACCAAATCTGTACTAGATCTGTAAGAAACAGACGGCCTGCAGCCTTTCCCTTCTGAAGAAAAAATTTCCCTAACCTAAGCTCTCACTTTGGGCATAGTACCTTCAGTGAATGGCAAGGTGAGATGTGAGCACGAAATCCTAAATTTCCAAAGGAAAGGAAATCTCATAACTTCTAGTTTTAGGACTAGGTATCAGTAAGTCAAACCTTCAGTTATACTTTACCACAAATGAGTGAAAGGATCTTTCTCCCTTTACTAGAAGAGGCGGTAAGCCATTATTTCCTCTTTCAAGCCTAATCACAAATCACCAGGCTTTTGCTGAACAGGTAACATGATGATAGGGCAATTACCAATCATATCCAAAAGACATCAAGAACAATAAAAGCCAAGTAAGTCTAACATAGACCAAGGGACCCAAGTGTTAAGACCTCTGACATCAACAGTAGATATAGGCAAAGTGCATGCACAGGACATCTGGCATGGTCACCTTCACTAAGAGCTACTTTACCTCAGTAAGGCCAATGTTCTTTCTCTTAATGACATTCTGCAGAGAGTTGCTCAGAGTCCTGGTCAGCAACAGGTTTGTAGACTTACGGATCATGTCATCAACTTCAGTGGAGCTGAAATGTAAATGATGAACTCAGTTGCAGCCCGGGTAACTAAATTTGGCAAATGAGTGGGTGCCAGCAGTTCTTGTAGTAGTTAACAGTTGTAGCTGGATTAACAGAAGCAGCAGTGTTGGTAAAGGTAGCAGTAACGGCTAATGTATTCTGTGTGCCAGAAAGTATACCAAGGACATTAACAAATACCTTTAGATTTTGCTCTATTAAATATATACTTTGCCGTAATTTTTTTAAAAAGTTCTATCTACAGAACTCTGCCTAGATTGTTTTTTCACATTTGAATGATTTAAGAAGTACAGGCTAACCTGAACAGTTTCAGAAAAGAAGCCATTCTGAAGCCATGGAACTTCACTTAGGATTATATACTTTCAGTATCAATTATATTTTTATGCACTTAGCCAACACAATACACACACACACACACACACACACACACACACACACACACACACACACACACACCAGAATTAAAACTAAAAAAAAAAATTTGTTTATATCTTCTTTAACTGTGTTCATCTTCTTTATCACTTAAAAATGTCTTGGTGCTCACCTTTCAAAAGTAATCTGATTTCAAGAGGGGGCTTTTCTATGAAATCAATCTTGCTTTTAGATGGGAAAATTCACTGTACAATCCCCAAGGTCCATTTTTTTCATAGTAAGAACAATAATTAACAGAGCTTTTGCACTACACAGGAGGCCAATGCAGGAATATAGGAGGTCAAGGCCTGCATGGGCTAAAGATGAGATTCAAGGCTACGCTGTGCAACTTTGCAAGATTTTGTCTTAGCACCTTAAAGTAACAGAGGCTTTAGACTAGCTCATTGGTAGAGAACTTGCCTAGCATACCAGAAGACCTATGTTCAACCCAAAGTAGTAAATGGTTATAAAGAAATGATTCAACCCAATTCCTAATTATACTTATTTCAGAAAAGCTTGACACATGATATGTTCTGTTCATTCATTCTTTTGGTAAATTGATCAAGTGTAGGTAAAGATGGAGTGTTGAGCAGTGTGACTGCTGTGCATATCCTGAATTTGTGCTGCACTTAATATTAGCTATTCAGGTCCTCAGGTAGGTAAAATCCTCCTTGGAGATAAAGGTCTTCCTTTTAGCTTCTTAATGTCTTACTACTAAACAGCATCTAACGAGATAGTTGCCAAAAGATATACAGACTAAACCAATAAATGAGCAAAGAAACAAAGAAGCCTGTGCTTAAGACAGCACACTAGCAGAGAAACACTACTGTTTCCAAAGACTAGGTTACAGCTCCATTCTCACTATAAAATTTTATCTAGTGAGTAAGTTAAACTACAACTTTCAGGAATTTTTTGCTGATATTGTTTAAAATGTAATATATTTTTTTTACATTATTCAAAAGCTTTTCCCTTCCATCATAACTATAAAAAGCAGTGTTCCACAGTGAAAGCCTATACCAAGGCTTCCAAAATCATAATTAAATGAATAACAAACATTTTACACAGTATATATTTTAGAGAAAGTAACAAATTCAGCACTGGACTGGTTCCCAGTGTCTTCTGTTATACCTTAGATGAAGATCTTCTGAAAACTTCAGGCAGGCGTAGATAAATTCTTTAATCTGGTTGTAAACTTTTGGCACAAATTCAGAGAAAGGAAACTTTTTGGGAAATGGCTGCTGTAAATGCAAGGATTAATGAAAGCAAGTCACTAAATCCATTGAAGACAACTGAAAATGAAAAACAAACAAACAAACAAACTTTGTCCTACTTTGTGAAGTACTGACTTAACAGTATCAAACTGTTAAAAAGTTAAAAAAAAATTTCCAAGAGATTTCTGACACTTTAAAGAATAAGACAAGTATGCTGACTAGTTTCTATGTCAACTTGACACAAACAAGGTGAATGTGGGAAGAAAGAATCTTAATCAAGAAAATGCCTCCATAGGATTGGGCTGTGGGGCATTCTTTACAATATTTTTATTTATTTATTATTTTAGTTTATGTACATGTGAGTTTTGCCTGCATGTATGCATGCACACCATGTACTTTCAATGTCTAGGAAGACTAGAAGAGGGTGTCAGACACCCTGAAACTGGAGTTACAGGTGGTTGTGACCTGCCATTTATGTGCTTAGAACCGAACTAGGGTCCTCTGCAAGAGTGCTTTTAACCACAGTGCTTTTAACCACTGAACCATCTTTCCAGGCCTAAAGCATTTCTTGGTTCATGACTGATGTGGATGGGCCAAGCTCACTGTAGGAAGGTAGTCCTGGGTGGTATAAGAAAACAAGCTAAGCAAGCAAGCCAGTAAAAAGCAGTCTCCCATAGCATCTGCTTCAGTTCCAGCCTCCAGGTTCTTGCCTTGAGTTCCTTCCCTGACTTCTCTAGATGATGCACTGAGACCTGAGAGTTCTAAGCTAGAATAAATCTTTCCTCTCCCAAATTGTTTTTCGTCCTGGTATTTCATCATAGCAATAGAAATCCTAAGTCAAAAACTGGTACTAGGTTGTGGAGTATGACTGAGGCAGATCTGACCACATGTTATTTAGAGAACCATGGAAGGACTCTGGACCTTTGGACTGGAAAAGTCATTTGGTATTTGAGGCTTAATAAGCTATTGTGGGAACTTAGTAGTTAAGAATGTTGAAAGCAATGCAAAGATGGAGTTTTGGCTTGAGAAGTTTCAAAGGGAAGTTTGAGACCACCTTAAAGACTCTAGCAGAGCAATCTGATATCTTGAGCTTTAAGAACCTGTGATTTGGGGGCTGGAGAGATGGCTCAGAGGTTAAGAGCACTGCTTGTTCTTCCAGAGGTCCTGAGTTCAATTCCCAGCAACCACATGGTGGCTCACAACCATCTATAATGAGATCTGGTGCTCTCTTCTGGTCTGTGGGTGTACATGCACACAGAACACTGTATATATAATAAATAAATAAATCTTTAAAAAAAAAAAAGAACCTGTGGTTCTAGTCAGCTGGGGCTGAAGAATCAATTGTAGTTAAAAGAGACCAGAACTACTTAAGCAAAACCTTTGCTTGACCAGGACACTTGATGCTGGTTAGTTAGAGCCTACAAATCAGTGATGATTAAGAAGAGACCAGCACCACTGAGGACATAAATCTGGGAGTATTTTCTCAGGGTCAGCACATTGTTGTGGGCTATCTGTATACTGTGAAGGTGCATTGCTGTGATTGGCATAATAAAAAGCTGAATGGCCAATAGGTAGGAAGGAAATATAGGTGGGATTTCTGGGAAGAGAAAGGAAGGAGATCTAGGTGCACGGGAGACATAGAGAGGGGAGACACCAACGAGATATGGAGGGAGTCAGACATGCAGAATGAAGGAAAGGCAAAAAGCCACACGGTAAAATGTAGATTAATATAAATGGGTTAATTTAAGTTATAAGAGCTAGTTAGGAACATGCCTAAGCTATAGGCCAAGCTTTACTAATTAATTCCGTGTCTTATTTGAGAGTTGGCTGGTGGGACAGAGAAAGACTCATTAAAGCACATAGAGACTGTGGCCCAGGGGAAACCAAGGCTGCGTCTCATGCTGGCAGCTGAACTTGGTACTGTGTAAGAGTCCTCCAGGTGGTATGGATTTTTAAGGCACGAAAGTTAACAGAGAGCAGCTATGGTTTGGCATGAGAGGTCAGGAGATGTAAATGGTGAATGTGACACCTCAACTGAAGTTGAAGACTCAGGATTGAAGGGGTCATGGAGTGACATTGAGGCTTAGCAGCATGTGGCAGGGACAGAGTCCCCTAGAGAGCTCAGAGGAAGCTATTGGTTGCAGGAAAGAGTCTAGTTTCAAAAAATACACCAACATTTTGGAGATGCCACTACTGTGGAACAACCACCAAGGAAGGCAGCAGCAGTGGAGTAAAGCTAGCCTGAGCCTAGGAAACAAACTGTGTATACTACAGAGTGCAGAGCCAAAAAGAAGTATTCCTGACCCTTTGCAGCCCAGAGGATCATGAGTTGAAGACATCAAGCACTGACCTTTTTACACTGTTGAATTTTGGGTTTGATTTGATTACAATTGTGCCCTGGTTCTTCCTTCTTAGAGTAAAAAGTATTTAACTTATTTTCGATTTTACAGAAGTCCACAGTTGAGAGACATTGTAATTTTACAGATATTTTGGACATTTCAGAGGAATGTTGGCTATTCTAGAGAAATTTTGAACTTGAAAGAGACTTTAGATATTTTAGAGACTGAAATTTTAAAGTGTCTGAATTTTTTTTAAAAAGACTGAAGAAGTTTTAAAATTTGAAATGTTTTATACTGTGATACTGATATTAATATGCAATTTGGGGAGATAAACAGGAAATAAAAAGTTATGCCTTAATAAGCTATGTGTTTGTGTGTCAAGTTGACAAAGGGCCAACTGTACTGGCTAGTTTTTATGTCAACTTGATGCCAACTAGGGGCATATACAGACTTAATAGAGAAAATGCATCCATAAGATTGGCCTACAGGCAATGCTGTAGGTCATTTTCTTGACTGATGACTGATGACTGATTGGGAGAGCCCAGCTCACTGTGGGTGATGCCACCCCTGGAAAGGTGCTGCTGGATGATGTAAGAGAACAGGCTGAGCAAACCATAAATGAGCAAGCCAGTAAGCTGCACTGTATCAGCTGCTACCTCCAGGTTCCTACACTATATGAGCTCTTGCCCTGTCTTTCCCCAGGGATGAATGTGCCATGGAACCACATGATTCCAAGTGTCTGTGATTTCATAAACATCAAAAGACAATACTTGAGCCTGTACTTTCACATTTTTCATGTGCAGGGCTTAAGTACAGCAGAGAGCTTGGGTAGAAAGGGGCTGATTAAGGAAAACTCCTCTGCACTGTAACTTTGGTGGGGAGAAACCACTCACTGCACTGTCAAAACAATAGAATTATACCAAAGAGAGCAAATTTAAATGTCTGGTTTTAGAAGAAACTATTTGAACACTACAACAAAATTAAGAATTCAAATTTGAACCAAATTGCATTACTCCAGGGATTTGACAAACTCTAAAGATGTGTAGGACCTCAAAGCCTTTTACAGATTCCCAATGAGGTAATTCTGTACATCTAAGACTCAAAAGAAATTATTTGAAAGTGTTTTAAAATCTACTGACCTGAAGTATCTCAGGTTCAGAGAAATTTAATCTAGTGAAAAAAGAGAAAGTGAGAATTTTATTTTAATACATCCCTTACCTTTTCCAGTTCTGTATCTTGAAATGGGAATTGTCCTACAACCTTTTTATATGTCTCTTCACTCGTTACTGGTATGGGACTGTAGTTGTCAGAATCAAGTATGGTTCTATAAAAAAATGAAAAGGCGGGGGGAAGGAGAGAGGAGGGTTGCTTAAACACAGAGGCTTTTTCTGAGACAGTTTAATGATTATATGTTTACCACAACTTCAAAAAAAAAAAAAAAAAACAAAAAAAACCCTCCCCATCCTTACTACACTCCTACAATGCAGCCATTTTGGTTTGGACATTTAAAAAAAAATCAGAGAGAAACTAAGCTCTGAAACAAGTGGAACACAACTATAAACATGACCTTCTAGTGTCTGTGATTTACAAATGGGCAGAAAATTAAAGGCAAGTGGGATGTAAATGAGAATAGAATATTGGAGTTGATCATTTTAGTAAGATATATTGGATCATAATCATAGTTTTAATTATGTACTAGTGTATTCTAACTTAGGAAACTGTCAGAGAGGAAAAATAACTTCTAATAATTAATCCATGCTATGTTCTCTCTCCTCTGTCTTCTGCTATGTACTAATCAGTAATAAGTTCTCTCTCCTTGAGTATATTAAGAGTTCTCTGAAAGCAGAAAATTTCATATGAAATCCAAACACAAACTCATTAAATCACAGAATGCTGTGGCTATTCCTGTCTGTACTGCCTGCAGAGATAATCCTACCATAAAAGCAATTATTAGCATTAGATACATCTGGATTCCAGAAGTGTATACATTTACATTAATATATGTATGAATTGAAATAAATAATGTTATGCTCATGAACTGTGAAGAGTAAGATTAAAAGATGAGAGTGAAGGTTTAAAAGTAAACTTGAAAATGAGATAAGCTGACAAGAGGACACAAGCAACTGGCAAGAAGAACTCTTGAAGGAGAGGCGAGTCTGGGATTCCAAAGAGGGTTGACTGAACTTGTGTGTTACTTTGGGCAATGACCCAAGGGCATGGGAGGTCCTCCAGTGTCTCTTCAACTTCTTCAGAGTCCATCCTTTACATTGTGGAGGTCTTTCTCCTCCTTGGTTAGGTTGATTCCTAGGTTTCTTTTCTATTTTTATGTATATTTGAGGATACAGCAAATGATGTATGGGATTGTTATCCTGAGTTCTTTCTCAGCATGCTTGATCTTAAAATATAGAAAAGCTGCCTACTTCTGTATATTGATTTATGTCCTGCAACTTTGTGAGGGTGTTTAATAGTTCTAAGAGTTTTCTGGTGGAGTCCAGACATCTTATAAGTATAGAATCATATCATCTGCAAATAGGGATAATTTTAGTCTTCCCTTCCTATTTGTATTCCTCTTTTTCTTTCTCTTGCTGTATTGCTGTGACTAAGATTTCAAGCACTAAATTAAGATTAAAACAAGAAGATAGAGGTTGGGGATTTAGCTCAGTGGTAGAGTGCTTGCCTAGCAAGCACAAGGCCCTGGGTTCGGTCCTCAGCTCCATAAAAAATAAAAAGGAAAAAGGAAAAAAAAAGAAGATAGCTGTCTTTCTTCTTTTAGAGGACAGGTTTAAAATAAGAAGAAAATGAAATGAGAAGACAAGAAATGTGCACCAAGAAAACAGTCCCAAGAGTACTGTGCTAGGAGGAAATGTTCCAGAATAATTTCCCATTATTGCATGTATGTTGCAATAACTACTTAAATAACATGCTTCAGATATGGACTGCAATAAGCCAGTTCTCTGCTTATGAAGAATAATGAAGAGAGATAACATGAGTTATCCAAAAGTGAATGGCTCAAAAAATGAGCCAGACCAACTATAATGCACCAATAATTCCAGCACTTAAAAGGTGGAGGAGGGAAGACCAGGAGCTCAAGGTCACCCTGGGACACAAGAGACTCTGTCTATAAAACAAAACATTTTTCTAAGGTCATACTATCTGTGATAACTTAACTACCACTACCAAACTAAGTATAATCTTCAGGAAAAACAAAAACTACAAAACAGAGTAAAAAGACAAGATAATCTGGATGAACCAATAAATCTGCCTTTACTTAAGGAAACAAACATAACAAACAGGCTATGGGGCTTTCCCAAGACAGCAGGTACTAATATATTGACACAGAATACCTTGGAAGATTATTTTGCAAATCATTACAACTCATGAGAATTCTGGATCATAAATTGGAGGAGTTAGAGAAACATAAGCCACATGTTCTTGGTGCTCATTATATCTGTAAAGTCTTGTTTAGCTCCCCCAAAGGTGCATCTGCATAGGGCAGGGGAGGACAGGAACATAGAAACAACTGCAGCCTCTTACCTGAAAACCCCTGCCCACTTCTTCAACAAAGTCTCGCTATATTGGTCTCTGATTTCTAAAAGCATATCAAAAAGTTGATTCACAGGAAAACCATACACCTGAAAGGAAATAGGTTTGTTTTAAAAGACCTTTTACAAAAGCTAGCCATTTGGGGAAGAAACTGTCCTTGCCTCAACTGCTGATAGAATGTTGTCCAACTTGGACAAGCAGGACACAAAAGGAGACAACTGTCAAAGTTTGCCATGACAAGGTAGGGCAGTCCTTCCAAATTCCTGCTACACAAAAGTCTGCCAGATATTTTAGACCTGTAGGCCGAAGATGGATGCCACAATGTTACAGAGGAATTCTGAGGTACGTGTCCAGGTAGCCAGATGTCTCTGTCATTTCATAGTTTTGGAAGTTGTTTGCTCTACACTTCCTGTTTAGTCAAGTAATATTTTATCCTTTTCAGGTATCTAATGTAGTTGAATATGATATAGTTATAGTTATAGTTTTCTTTCTCACCAAATTAAAAAAATTAACAAAAGAGATATAAAAGGAGAGGCATAAAAGCTTAAGTTAAGTATCTAAAAAAAAAAAAAAGGAAAGAAAGAAAATGTTCTAAGGTCTAAAAAGATATTTTTCAATTGGTAATAAAGCTGTGATAAAAAAAATGGTTTAGGTATAAAACTTTAGATTCACAAAGAAAGAACAGACAATGGAGTATTTTCTCTGATTTTGCGAAATACAAATGGACTGGAGACTATAAATGTAATTTTTTACCTGATAATTGTTCTTATTGTATCTAGTTTTACTATGTTAGAGTTAAAACCTTTCTTTGTAATTTGGACAAAAAGGAGGAAATGTTGTGGAATAATCTTTTTGAATACAATGAAAATGTATCACCCTGATTGGTTTAATAAAAAAGTAAACATTCAAAAAAAAGACCTTTTAAATAAACAAAAGATTAAGTGCTAAAAGATGTTTCATTATTTAAATAATGAAAAAATGACATCAGAATTTTTCATCTCTACCTAATATCTAGTGTTTAGCTCTCAAAAATTCAAAGATACACATCAAAATTCCTAGGTCAGTCATAAAAAAGAAAATGATAAAAATTTAAATCAATATATACTCTCAGGTGAGTTGCCCATATGGTAACTTACTGCCCAAAGCAATTCTCCAAGGACAGAGAGAGAGTGCAGCTGCTACCATTGCACTAACACCTAATGCTACTCTAATGTGGCTCAAACCAACCATCACTAAAAAGATGGCAGTAGAATACACTACAAGGTACATGGTGCTATAGTGCAATTACAGACACTTAAAAGTCTAATTTTTCAAATGGTGCAAGCAATTTTTTTCTCTGAGAGAAAAAAGGAATAGGAACTATTTAAGAGACAATAAGTGATCAAGATAAAACCCTGATGATTGTTATAAAGAAGTAGAAAGATCTAGCTCTAGGAAAACAATAAACATTAAAAACTCAAAGGAGTGAGCCAGGCTTAGGTGAGTACACAATGATTCCTAGCTGTGGGATCCTACTCTAGAAAAGCAAGTGTCAATAATGCACATACCTGAAGTGTGTCAGCAAAAAGTACAATGAGGTTCTTCAAATCTAACACAAGGTTTGGATCCGAACAGTAGGACTAATGAAAATGGAAAAAGGGAAAAAAATATCTCATGAAAAAATTACATTTTTATTTATGACACTGTCTAATGCACCACCTGGTAAAGGCACTTACTGGAGGGATCTAACCATTTCCTAGTACAAGTTAACAACAGCAGACTCAACTAGAGAAGAACTAAGGAGGCAGGGTTCAGTAAGATTATCTATATCTTTAACACATGGAAACACATTTTGAAATTCTTTAAATAAGAACAAAAATGGGGCCAATAAGATGGTTCAGCAATCAATAAACTAAAATACAAAAATTTTAAAAGAAACCAAAATGGATAAATTATTTTAAAATTTAGCAATAATGAAATCCTTTGTATGAAAACTTGTGACATGTGCCTAAAGCTATTTTCAAAATAACTGTTTATCTTTCTTTATATGCAAATATTAGAAAATACAAAAGACTGAAAATAACTTGACTAAACACTGCACTGATGACACTATAAAAAATAATGCCAAATAACCAATAATTATGTAATAAAATGAAATGAAGAAAATTCAAAGTGACAAACTGGTGATGTGAAATAGACATGAAGATTTGATCATTCAAACCAGATAAACATGGAATCAGTAAGGCAGGCATCTTAGGTAAGCATAATTATACAATAGAAAAAGGAATTGAATAGCAGTACAAGGGATACAAAATAAGCATAAATAAATAGGAAACAAAAATTGCTAATAAGTACCACATATAACCTTGCATGTACACATCTGATTACTTAGCTGACCTCGAAGACAGTATCCACATGAAGATTAAAGAATATATGCTATTAATTTAAAATTTCTTCAAATTCTGATATTCCAATTTCCTCAGTTATAACTTTGTTATTTGTTCTCCATGTGACCTCCCAGGATCTGATGTCAGTATATTCAATGTCCCCATAAAACCATATGTTTTTCTTCTATGTATACCATCCCTTCTAAAGACCCCTTTTCTTTTTGGTGTCAAAATTAATACCAATACAAAATAGCCCCAATCCTCCTACTTGAAGCTCTTCTTTGTTTTCTACATGGTTTGCTTCTCCTTATATAAAAACTGCCCAAGGCACTACTGGTCTACTCTGGTGACTGTCCTAGCAAATAACCTAGCTGTCATCATAGAGCCTTTGTCCAGTGACTGATGGAGGCAGATGTAGAGATCCATGGCCAAGCATCAGGCTAAGCTCCAGGAATCCAATTGATGAGAGAGAGGAGGGACTCTGCAGGCAAGGGACGTCGAGATCATGATGGGAAGACGTACAGAGATGATTGGTCACACTAGTGAAAGCCCAGGAACTGTGGACTGGTGGTTGTGGAGCCCCCATGGGACTGGACTAGGCCCTCTGGATACAGAAGACGGTTGTTTGGCTCAAACTGTTTGGGGGTTACCCAGGCAGGGGGATCGGGATCTGTCCCTGGTCTATGGGCAGGCTTCTGGGAATCTGGTGCCTATGGTGTGATGCCTCGCACAGCCTTGGTGCAGTGGGAAGGGGCTTGGACCTGCCTAGGCTCAGTGTGCTGGGGTCTGCTGACTACCCATGGGAGAACTCTATTTGGGGGATATGGGGATGCGGGGTGGCTTGGGAAAGAGGGCTGGGGGTGGGAGGAGGGAGGAGGGGAGATCTGTGGATAGTATGTGGAGTAAGTAGAAAATTTCTTAATAAAGAAAAATGAATAAAAAGAATCATTTACCCATTTAATAATGATAACATAAAAAAGGGCAATGATGTGTATATATGTGTGTGTGTGTATATATATACTGTTTCAGTTAAGTGCCGAATGAATAATAAATCATGAAGAAGTTTATTATGAAAAAAAAACTGCCCAAGGCACTGTCATGGTCTAGCTTTCCTACATTTCCTGGGTTATTGACATAAATGGACCTACTCAAGTCACCTTATTTTAAGTTTACTATTTATATGTTTCTAATTTTCCCCAAATTTCCTTCCATGTGTTTTATTGGATAAGATCTTTTAATTACCTTGAAGTGGGCATTCAAACCTGTTACTTGAAATAACCTGAAGTGTCCATTAAATACTTCTGGATGCAACTCACCTTTTATCGGACTAATTAATGTGATAAGCATGATAAAGCATCTGCATGTATGTCTACCTGAATTTGCTGTCACTCAATGAATCCTTTCCACTTTACTATTCTATTACTACAGGCCCCTTGTTGGACACTGTTATTTTCTCAATCTCAATCAGCTATATTCCAAAGTCTCTGTTATAATCCATGTTTCCTAGCTATTCCTTTCCTATTTCCCACCTCTTTGTGACTATGGGATAAAGTTTGACTTTGTCTTCTTGACCATGAAATGGCATGCAGCCTTAGTCTTTGAATTAAATTTCTCTACTGATGCTCATAAATTTCCAAAGAACTATTTTTATCTTGGATTCAGCTTTCTTTTGGTGTCTTTCCATTATTTTTTTTGTTTTGCTTTATATCCTTTCATGTTATAAATAGAACATATACAAAAAAGGTAATGGCTGTAATTGCAATTGTACCAGTCTGAGTGAGTACTAACTGCTTGCAAGAACCTCTCAGGTGTGCTCACCAGAACTTCATTATTCCCACTTAGGAAAAACATTCTAACTTCAATGACAATCATTTTCATCTCTTTCCATGTTTTTCCACTTGTAGTTTTTTAATTGATAAGCTTTCTCTTTATAACTGCTAAGCTCTTACTTGCTGTTGGCTTAAAATATAATATATTCAATTGTAAGGTACCCACCCTGCCAATAATAAAACTACTGTGACACTGACTGGCACTAAATTAAACTTATAGATTACATAAGTCTTATTTTATGCAAATATCAATAAAGTAGCATTACAGGCACAAGGAACAGGAACAATGAAGGACTATCATGGACAACTGTTCAAGGAATGATGAGCAGCCAGCAACAAGACAATTTGACTTTTTAAAAGTTTTAGTAAATTGTCTACTATCCTGCCTCTAATGCCTTCTATGAGTTAAGTTTAACAGGTAGTTGGCCAGCAAATGCCTAGACATCTCAGCCTACGCAAGCAGAGAGGAAGGCTGATTGCAGAGCTAGAAGCAAAGAGCTTAACATACTACAACAATCCTTTAGCTATATGTATAAATGTGTATAGCACATGAGGTATTTTCTGAATGAATAAATATAAAGCACAGAACAATGTACTAATGATAATATGTCACTTTGTATTCAATGAGAATGAAGTATCTGAAATATACAGAATACTACTAGACACAAAAAGAATTATGGACAGACGTGAGTGACTGTTTCTTATTGCAGACAGCATCAACAAGGCAAGCTCAGTGTTACAAAATTCAGAAATCTAAATGAACCACTTTCACAATCTCCAAATAGGGGTTGCCAAAGAGATATATGTCAACTTGAAATTAGTGCAACACCAAACAGTATGCAGATTCTCAGTATAAGTAAGCACTTCCTGGGGCATCGTACATACCGAGTGGGTGCGCAATGCTGCGATGGTCTTTGAAAGTGCCATTTCCCACAGTTCGTCAATGTAGGCTCTATTCACTAAGCCCTGGGTTGTATGCAAAATGTGATCTTCAACCACAAAAAAGCTGAGATTGGGAAAAAAAGAAAGCACAGATGTCAGAGGTTACAGTTGTTATATCTTGACCACTGCCACCTAACTCAAAGAGAATAATTTTTTTCTGAAGAAAGCTATTCATTATCATAAATGAAATTACTTGATATATTGAGCATGTATCTACAATCCTATAAATATCTTAGACACTCTATCAAGAATGAAGTTTCATTTCTAATGAATGTCAACCACACAGACCAACAATTTAAAAGAAGAAAATATATACAGTTCATATAGCCTACTTCCAATGTAGTTTTAAAACACAATACACCTCAAGAAAGTAATTTTAAGAAGAATTTATAAATTTTTAAGAATTCAACACAACACATCACAATAATTCCCAAAATCTGGCCTATAACCCCAGTAACTCAGGAGGCTAAAGCAAGCTTTGCCTAAGCTACAAAATGAGTTTAAAAGTAACTTTATGAGACCTTGCCTCAAAATAAAAACTCACACTGGGATATTTTTTTTTAATTATAAACTTATGTTTTGAATTTCCTTGTTGTGGCTTATTTTGCATTTAAAATATATCTTCAGTTACCTTGCTGCTAATTCAAATCAAAAGAAAACTCAATTAGCATATTTTTAAATTACCAAAAAATCAAACACACCAAGTTCTCATGTCCCATGTACCTTAGGTAGGCCTTAAACTGCCTGTATAGCCAAAGATAACCTTGAACTATTGATCCTCCAGCCCCCGTGTTCCCCAAATCTGGGATTATAGGTGTGTGCCACCACACCTTGTTGTATGCAGTGCTGAGGATCAAACCCATGCAAGCACTCTAGAGTAGCTACATCCTTAACCTTCAATGACAGGCATAATGAAAGTTACTCACGAAACTGAAGCAATATGAATCTGATGAAAGAAAGCAAGAGAGGAAAGAAGAAAAGCTAGCGAAAAAGTGAGGGAAGGAGGAAGTAGTGTGCAGGCAAGCTCTGTGAAAGAATCAAATTCTGTTGCCTTCCTTTTACACACAGTTGCCATCTCATAGTTGGAACAAGCTGCTTGACTAGGGGGGTCTTTATTCAGTAATCCTAATTCCACGCTACTAGGTCCACTCTAAATGAGAACAACCACTTCATCCCATCCTGTGGGATCAGACTGGTGGCAACCAGTTTAATAAAGGTTGTGTTAATGTAACATACTCTTACTCACAGATTTCTGAATCATACATAGCTGTTTTCAGACTGGCACAGAGCCAAATAGTTGTGACAGAGTTGCCAAATTCTTCTAGTCCTAAAATATTTTACTCTCTGGAAAAAATCTGACAATGTGGCTGATTATCTCACTCCATGTTGGAACAAAGAATGGAGAAACAAAACATCAATTATAATAACATTATGAGTCAATTTTCATTTATTTAGTCACAAAAGTGCCCTCCAAGAATATAATGCCGAAACCAGTAAGAGGTACCTTTCATGGTTTGTGTGTTTGCTTGCTTTTGAAATACCATATCTCTGTGGGGCCCAGGATGGTCCTCCTTTCTCAACTTCCTCAAGCACTGACTTACAAGTATATGTTACCATGACCCAGAAAATGATCCTTCTAAATTATAAGAAAATAAAAACTAAGTCTTTTTTTTTTTTTCGAAATTACCAAGAAGAATGGGGGACATTTTCCCAAGTAAAGATATATCTTTTGTAAGTCTTATAAATTAAATATAGAAACTTAAATATGTACCTACCCTACAATTTGATTGAAATACTTCCTGTAGCCATCTAAAGTTTCATGCTGCAATAAAAAAAGCAAAGTTACTGTTTCTGTGTTATTACTTTAAGATGCGAAAATCAGTCACTTATTCTCAGGAAGCTTAATCTCATAGACTACGAAGTAAACATAATGATAATGCCACAATTCTACATGTTAACAATGGAAATGAACTGACCTGATACATATGTAGAACTTAGAATAATGAACGGCATATAACAGTCAAGAAACATTGACTGCCATTCTTACTTCAAGGCACATCTACCAAAGTTGTGTCAGAATGACAGCAAGCACATGTAGGCAGGTGCACATGCATAAATACACACAGACACAGACACACAGACGCATGCATGCATGCACAGTCAGCTACCAGGAAGAAAAAGGTAAAAGTATAGAAAGTGCAGGCAGCAAGCCTACCATGTTTGATGGAGGCTGGAGCACCAGACGAGCCTGTTTTCGTCTCTGTTTTCGGTAATAATTTTCAAATGTTTCTCGGGCACCCTGTAAAACAAACAAGAGGAAATAATATAACTGGACCAATATCCTTGAAATTGAAAAGAAAAGAGTAGACTTCAGGTGTATAGTTTGAAGAACGCCATATATCTCAAGACCTCCTATTGTAATAATGACAATAACCACAGATTATAAAAGCAACTATGACCACTTATTGAACCTAATCACAAAACCCTGAAGTATAGACAGAAGTGACCTTTACAAGGACATGGTCAGAACGCAAGCTTCAGCACACCAAGGCTGGTTTCTGAGTCAATAATCACAAAATCACAAAAATGAGGGTAAAACAAGCAACCTTAAAATGTTATAGTAAGCAAGAAAAATGTCTCTTCAAAAACAAATAGAACATTCCAGAAGGAAAAATGCCCAGAATGAAAGCCAGCTTTCAAATCATTCATGACCAAAGGACCAACAGAAAGTGGGAAAGGCGAGAGCTGAGGATGACAAATCCTTTTCTCAGATGGAGTCTTACCAAGAAGGGACAGAACAAGAACAAAAGAGACGATCCCTCAATATTCTTGATATACAATTTCCAGTTTTCCCCAGGCAGGGGTGTCCAGCCTTTTGACACTCTGACATGGCAAATGTGTTTGGCCACATTCACAGCTCTCCTGGGAGACACACTGGATAGGTTTTCTGAACTCAACACGAGTGGTGCTCAGAAAAATATCTGGCTCATGAGCTCTACACTCACAAACTCTGTTCTGGATTGATCAGTATCTCCTCCAAACCCACACCCTTCCCAGAATCTCTAAACGCTTTAGCTGGAACAAGCAATAATTCTGATGTGATCAATCCAATTGTGTGATCATGCCTGCTGGAGGATGGAACTTAGTACACTATGGCTGGTATCCCCCCCAAAAAAGACCCAGAAAGACACAGGGGGAATGGCATGTGCTGAAAGAGGCAGAGGTGGGTCAATGCAGACTTAAGCAAAGAACAGCAAGAACTGCTGGGACCCACAGATATCAGGAAGAAATAAAGAAGATTCTTCCCATAGTCTCAAAGAGAGTGTGGCCTCTAAGATGCCAAAATGCTTTTAATTTGTAATTCAAGCTTCCAGAACTGGGATAGAACAAATTTCTGTTGCTGTAAGCCATATAGTTTGTGGTACTTGATACAGTGGCTTTGGAAAAATAGTACAAATTGAGAGGGTTTTGTAATAACATGCCCCATTGTGACTAAATGTTCTTAACCTAAGACTTTTCTCAATCAGTGAAACAAGCAGAAAGATCCCACAGAGACCAAGAGCACTGCTTTAGAGCCAGGTGGCTACATTCTAACTGTGGTTCTGCCCTTCCTGCCATGGAACTGCTCTGAGCCTTGCTGCTAATTTCAGTCTCACTGTCCACTCACTCAGTTTGCACTTGCACTTGTGCAGCATCCTTTTCATCTGTGGAGATGTCAGCCTTGTGCAGCTGCTACATGGGCTTAACGAACTATGAAGCTCTCATTTACACAAGGGCTTACTCTTTCAAAAGAAACAAGATGAACGAGGCGGTAAAGAGAAGGCACTGTGCGGCTCTTGCAGTCTCTATTCGGGCAATTATCTAGGGTGTTTTCTTCCATCACCTCAGAAGTTGAAGAAGGCTTATTCAGCATGACTTCTCTGTTATATTATTATCTACCTGAACTGAGGAAACTAACTTAAATCACAACCACACAGACATAACGCAGCTTCTGTAAAGAGGAGGACAAGTGCTCCTCCAGGCTGACCAGCAGCTGCTTCACTCATCCCACTGCAAGGCTAAGATGGCTTCAGACAACCCATAAAGAAATGTGGCGTGTACCCAAGAACCTTCCTTAGAGAAACTGAAATAAGAATATCATCATTTTCACCTGTCATGAAATATTACTTTTTTATGTCAAAAATGTCAAACTCAGTTTCAGTCCACAGGCTAGAATCAGATAGCAAAGTGAACTTGGCCCCTGGGTCATGGCTGTTAAGCCTGGTGTCCTTAAAAACAAACATCTTAAACTGATAAAGTGATTATTAGTCTCTACAAGTATTTCTTTTCTATAAAATGAAATCAAATATTAGCATGACTATTTCATCACTTTATTTATCCACCTTTAATGAGGAAGGAAATTATTCAAATTATTAAGTAACAAGTAGAAACTGCCATTTGATTTGCTGAAGTTATTCCCCACTTGTCACCAACTCATAGGATAGTGGTGCTGTTAAATGTCAATTACATGCTGTATACACTGAAGGGCTTTTCATTTTAAGGTTAACAGCCCTAAATGACCTTTATTATCCTAGTGTGACATTACATATTTAACATTCTTCAGAGCCAAGATACACTTAACTGTAAATTTAGGAAAAGCCTCCATTTTAATTAGACCATCAAGCACTAATTTGATTTCTTTCTTATAAATGATAGAGAATATACAAGATGAAATTCTATATATATATACAAATCAAATTCATTTCCTTTCTAATATTCCTTCAACAGAAAAGGGGACAACTTATCTAATAAGTCCGATTTCCCAATTTATCATAAGTGAGTTGGATTTCCCTGGTGGCTATTAAATAATTCACCTTTAATAATTCTATTCTTTCTGTCAATTTTGACAACTTGGTGTCTAAAGGCAGAATTCAAGAAGTAGGTATTTGATCAGTCTAGTGTGAGTAACTAGTGGAGTGCCTCCCTGTTGAGAAACAGGCCACTAGATGAACCACAAGGGCTTCATTTCAGCTCCAAACATAGAATCACTAACAGATTCTACAGATTTGAGGGAGGGGGAAAAAGGAGAGAGAGGTTAGTTTATTGGCAGAAAAATGTTGGGGGGGGGACCTAAAATTTATACTAATTGAAAAATTAGTAAGAAAAGTAAGCCAGGTAAAAGAATATTCCTAGAAGTACATACACTGAGATTCAAAGAAAACAGAATACATACTAAGAATCTAAAGGAAGTTCTCCATGGTGTGGTACAGGGATAACTAAAGACAAGGGTACAGGAATTTGTCAATTATTTGGCAATAGCTGTAATGACAGGAAGATCTTCCTACATTTTGGAACTTGGTGTATAGAGACTAGAATGAAGAAAGAGAAAAAAGATTCCAAGAGGTCAGTGAGAATCATAGCACAGTGGCACATGCCTACTGTCATAGTGCTGGGAAGCATGACAGAGAGTCATGAGCTCAAGACCAAGTTAGGCTACATGACAAGACTCTGTCTCTCCCTCCAGAAAAAGAGGAGGAGGAGGAGGAGGAGGAGGAGGAGGAG